GTTTTACTTCATGACAAGTATTTTGTGGATAGCACTAAGGCAACTGAATATCTCACAATCTTTTTCAGTTTTCTTGAACAAAACCACAAGATACAGAGCAAACAAATCTGACTTACTCATGCTAACAATTTATAAAGCAGCAAGCTAATTTTCATAAGACATACTGTTTAAGTTCTAGTAAGTCAGAATGGCAAAAGTAGGGAAATTATAAGATTATAATGATTATTAAACCATCAAACACCACCTTGTGGACTCTAGCAGACTAAACATGTCTGTGTGAGAGATTATTTCATGTTAGTACAAACAGCTTTATTAGTAAATTATAATATAGGACCTCCAAAACTTGAAAATAATCCTAACTGGCAAAAAAAAACAAAACAAAAAAAAAACAGGTAAAGGAAAGTTCTCTTTTCCCATCAAACTTCCTTCACTTCCCAAACACTGAACATATCCGTTAGTAATGTTGCGGCTGCAGATACACAACCATAATTTGCGTACATGTTATTTTCCAATAACATTATTAAAAATTCTAAAAATATCAAAGTCCTTATAATAGAAAACTAAGAACTAGTTAAAAATGCATCTTGAAAAGTTATACTAATAATTTTTAAACTGTCCTTACAAGAAGTGTGTCTATTTTATTTTGTTTTAAAGAGAAGAGTGTTCTGCTGTAGAAAATACCACAGAAAGCAAAAACTAAACTGTAAATTGAAAAATAAAGTGGATACAAAAATCAAAATGGTAAACTGTATCAGCAGCCTATCACTTTATACACTTGTATAAATGTTTAAGAAACAGTAAATTAAGTTTACATTTATAAACATTAAGTTTATAAATGAAATGCAAATAAACCTTTCTAATAATATTTAGATTCCAGTGTTTTATACAATGATGCTATGGAGTAATGAAAGCTTCTCAGGCACCCCAATTCTTCATTATGCTACCTTCAAACTTACAGTAAAGAGTAGTGATCATTGCCTTCTATATAGCATTTCTCTATCGGGACTTTTAAAACTTTTTGAATTTTCAAATTGAATTTTCAAATTCAGTTAAAGTTTAAGAAACTGTGTTTGTGCTAATGCAGAACAGTTCAAAATGTATAATTTGACAGCTGAGTTTCAATGATACAATGAAATTGATTTTTAACACAAAATAGACTCTAATGCTTTCTTTTGTTCTTCTCCAGAGCATTACAGAGGCAAACTGAAAATAGTCTGGATGCTATGTTTGAGATGTGCAACAAACTGTGTTTCCCAGGCTGTTTATATTTGCGAATCTGGTTTCATAACTAGCACGAGAGACTGGCATATAGTTTAGACAAAAAGAAGCCCTGCTTGACTCTTACCAGTCATAGCCCACTGCAAAAGATGTCTCAATTACTGGCGCAATGAGTTTAGCAGCTGTCATGATGTATTCCTCTGCCATAGATTTCCTAACAAAAAAAAACAACAGAAAAACCAACACACAAACATGTCACCATTTCAAAAACGTATACAAAAAATAACCAAATCTTGTTCTTGCTTCCTCCTGCACTCGGGACAATCTTAGGTGTCAATCTAACCAGTCCCCTGCTACTGCTACTGCCCTGTATCTTGATAAAGCTCTCCATTTTTTCTGTTTTCCTTTCCCTGCACACCGTAGTTGTATTTTTTAAAAAAAACAACGCTGCAATTTTTAAGCAGTGTAACCTATAGCATTTGGGGTAGATATTCTACTTCAGTGCAGTACACTAAACTGAGTGATCCAACCTGTTCTTCCAAGCGTATTCTTTCCTAAGAATTATGAGGACACTTTTATAACAAGAGCTGCGGACACGTGAGAAGACTGATAAAAACTTTCAGGAGCTGGAATCCATGGCACCACGGACAAGAAAGAACAGACTCCACCATTACCTCTCACGTTCTATTTGTCTTAAGCTGTCATTTTTAATGGCTTCAATCAGTAGATTTGTATGTGGATCATCCTGGAGGGGAACAAAACAGCTACAAATTATGCCAGTATACATGCATTTTAATTATTTTATAGACAATATGACTGTAAACATAAATGGATGCAAATTACATAGTCTATAATGTCAGTTATTTACTTTTCTCATTTCAAAAAGCTAGCTTCAGTTTAAAGTAGTTTTCTAACCACAAAATCTGACATTTGGCATTACAACTACTTTAAACCTGTTTTTCTGCTCACGTATGTGGTCATAGCTCACATTAGGATTGTTAATAGGTATAGTTAATGTCATGTGTATCGGACTGGGAAGGCTGCAAATCACAGTGAGAATACTCACATGCTTAAAAATAAGAGCATACTTAAGCATTTGCTGAACTGCAGTGGTATTCAGCAGATGAGGACTCGTGCTACCTTCTCATTGCAATAACTCACACGATCATCTTGTGCTTTCTATCACAGCTCTCTCTTAGTTCTAAAAGAACTAATGCGGGTATGCTGGGTAGCCACCTCTTCCTCATTTATGGGAGCTAGATCACAGATTTATACAAAATAAAGGCCAGAAGGAAACTTTGTGATCTTTTCTCTGACCTCCTCATAACAAAATACAGAGCTTGGAATGTCTGTTAAAACTGTAGCTTGCCTATGCTTAGAAAGAACTTCTACAGTCTAAAGCTTTTCTTCCAATGAATGATCTTACATAGTCTTCAATTAATTCAAGTGTTAAATGACCCTTATGGTAACGTAATTTCTAATATCAGAAATTATATATATATATGTATATGTATATATATATGTATATAAAAATATAATTATATATAAAAATACATAAGAAATTATATACATATTTCTCAATATATA